ATTGGACGCTTGGCATGATTTGTTTACTTTTGAACTTTGGTAAAAATCAAACATTTCTGCTACTTTGAGCTCAATTTCAAGGTACTTTTCATTGTAAAACCAGTCAAAATCATCTCAATTTCTATGATATGCCTTCCATTCTATAAAATGAGACCAAGAAAACTAGAATACAACAATAAATACCATACGAAAATACAGTGCAAAGTCGCTGTTTTATTCCAAAAAAAATGGTCAAAGATTTTTTTTTTCTCATTATGCACTGTGTGCTGCAGGATTTTTTTTATACCATGCACACTGACCACATAGACCCATTCTTTCATATGGAGGCCTACCAGCTTCCTCCCACTAGATTTGAGGGCGCTAGAATTTAGGCGTACTAGTACGTCAAAAACCCTGGGTCGTAAGCCGTACTAGTACGTCCAAAACCCTCAAAGGGTTAATGCCACTAGGACCAGCTTGAGAGTCACTGGACCTCTGTCGCACAAGAAATCTGTCCATAGAGCTCTGTACCTCCCGTTCCTTTAAGACTTTCCTCAAATGGGCCATAACATTGTCATTGTACAGGTTGCCAACATGGCTTGCAGTCAGGGTCAGATTAAGAAGTCTCCGGGCCCTAGGCTATTCAGATTAGCGGGGCCCCTTTGAGTTATGGGTAAGCGAAGCGACCCCTTCCAGCTTAGGGGTGGGGGGTGGGAGGTCGGTGTGAGCCTGTTTAACCCTGTAACCCTATCAGGTACCTCCCTTAACATTTAGAGGCAGAAACAAACATTTATCCATACACATCAATGTCTATCAACAACACTTCAGTTAATTTGTCACAGTACAAGTCTAGATAACGTGTAATTACTACAGAAAATTGGAGAGGAATCTCCCATATTCACCCATTAGCGGGAAAACACAGCTGTTCTGATGTAAACAAAGGCGTGTTGAGTGTTGCCATCTATGGTTAGGTTTATTTATTTTTATTTTATTTTATTTCATTATTTATTTTTGTTTTGATTAATTTTTAAAAATCAATTTTACTCTCCAAACACTTGAACTTTTTAGGCAGGGACCCCTTTGCACTTGCACCATATGCGCAGTCTTGGATGAGCCCCTGAACCCCTTGGACTGCGGGGCCCCCAAATGAGCGGGGCCCTAGGCAAATGCCTAGTTTGCCTATGCGGTAATCCGGCCCTGCTTGCAGTAGCCGTGTCAGGGTGATTTTTATCCATAAAGGTTTGTAGTTCAACCCACTATGCACACATTTCCTTAATCTCTCTTTTTCAATTCCATACTAATTCTCACCCTTTTTACCAAAGGGATGGCACTAGAAGCTTTCTTGGGGTCCATGGTGACTTATTTTGCAGTTACAAGCACTAAAAACACTGGGATAATGTGAAATGTACCAAATGTATGCGTAGATGCGACCGCACTGGCTGGCTTGTAAACACTGGTGCTGAGGCCACACGTGGGACACGTCCCAGATGAATCACGTAAGGCGAGTTTTTTATCGTGAGGCGAGGCAAAATTTTTGCGTTCAAATGCTTCGTATAGCGGATTTAACATAACGCGATGCGTTCATAAGGCAGGGGTCCACTGTATATGCCTCTCTCTTGACCAATGAGATGTTTTAATCTATTGTTTATCTATTTGGGATCATTTTTTGGTTGATCTAAATTCCCTACTTGGAACATAAGTTGTCTGGGCAGCTAGAACTATGCTCTGAAAAATGCCATATTAGTAAAGTAAAGTAAAGGTTTATTTCTTTGTAAAGGTTGCAATATGTAATTACAATTTTGGTTTGCTAAGTAGAAAGATAGCCACTATCATGACGAGGCATTTCAGGCAGACTAATAATAATAATAATACATAGTAACTACTTAAAACTAAACAAGTGGTTTACATGATTACAATCATATTTAATCTTAATACTAATGTAAGGTAGTCAAGGTAGAAGTTTCTAAGGATAATAATCTTGAAGTTGCACATAAAAAATATTACAGCTAATGGTTCAGTCAGTAATATTTCATGGTCTGACGGAAGTTTAAAAGTACTATAGAGGCCACATAAAATAACAAGTTAGTTGTTTTAGTTGACTTGGTTAGTATTGAGAGATAAGATGATTTTTTAGCAAAGTCCTAAATTTATAAGTAGACAGGGGATCCTTTACTGTTCTGGTAGTGAGTTCCAGATCTTCAGGCCCTTTATGTGCATTGCATTTTTGCATAGTGTGAGACTGACACGAGGAATGTTGAAGAGTGCCTTATGCCTTGTATTGTGACTGTGCATTCTGTTGTAATTGTCAAAGAGTAGTTTAAGTGGAGGGTTTACAGTGGAATTTAATGTTCTGTATATGTAAAAGGCACAATAATGTGAGTGTGTCTCGTTTATTTAGCAAGTTCACGCTTTTGAAAAGTGGTGGGGTGTGCTGTCTAGCACAGGAACTGGTAATCAACTGCACAGCAGCTTTTTGTTGGGTTATTAAAGGTTTAAGATGGTTGGCTGTGGTTGATCCCCAGGCACAAATACCATAAATGAGGTAAGGATATATTAAAGAGTGGTACAGGGTAAGGAGTGCTGTTTGTGGTACATAGTATCATATCTTGGAAAGGATTCCTACTGATTTGGAAATTTTCTTGGTTATGTGTTGGATGTGGGAATGAAATTTAAGATTACAGTCAAGGAGAAGGCCTAGAAATTTACCCTCAGTATGCCTCGTTATTGGGGAGCCATTTATCTATATGCTGAGTTGGATATTTAACCCGTAAACGGTCCAAGCAGATCTACGTTCACATGTGTAGTGCTACAAAAGTAGATCTAAGTTTTTTTTACATATTTTCAAATAAAACAAAAAAAAGTAGATCAAAGTTTTTTTACACATTTTCAAATGTAGAAAAACAAAAAGAAGATCTACTTTTTTTACATACAGGTCTCCCTCAACATTCACGTTTTCAACTTTCACGAGCTTCACACATTCGCGAATTCCCAACTGCCAAATTCCCAGCCACCAAATTCCCTGCCGCCAAATCATATTTAAGTTTCCCGCCACCTGCGAGTCCCTACTACCCTCCCTCCGACCCCCGCAACTGGCAGCCAGCCCTCCCACCACTCAGTGTGGTGAGTGTTTTGTTTGTTCATTATTTGCTATTAAACTACAGTATAAATAATGTAAACCCATTCATGACTGCATATTGGAATGGCTATTTGGACAGGTATTAGACGGTGACATCATGTGCTTACTCTTGAACACTGCAAAGAATTAAACATTTCTGCTACAGCTAATAATAACAATAGTAATAATAATAATAATAATAATAATAATAATAATAATGGATGGATTTATTGAAGGATGAGGTTAATCATAGAATTGATGAGGGAAAAAAGGTGAGTGGTGCGTTGAGGTATATGTGGAGTCAAAAAACGTTATCTATGGAGGCAAAGAAGGGAATGTATGAAAGTATAGTAGTACCAACACTCTTATATGGGTGTGAAGCTTGGGTGGTAAATGCAGCAGCGAGGAGACGGTTGGAGGCAGTGGAGATGTCCTGTTTAAGGGCAATGTTGGTGTAAATATTATGCAGAAAATTCGGAGTGTGGAAATTAGGAGAAGGTGTGGAGTTAATAAAAGTATTAGTCAGAGGGCAGAAGAGGGGTTGTTGAGGTGGTTTGGTCATTTAGAGAGAATGGATCAAAGTAGAATGACATGGAAAGCATATAAATCTATAGGGAAGGAAGGCGGGGTAGGGGTCGTCCTCGAAAGGGTTGGAGAGAGGGGGTAAAGGAGGTTTTGTGGGCAAGGGGCTTGGACTTCCAGCAAGCATGCGTGAGCGTGTTAGATAGGAGTGAATGGAGACGAATGGTACTTGGGACCTGACGATCTGTTGGAGTGTGAGCAGGGTAATATTTAGTGAAGGGATTCAGGGAAACCGGTTATTTTCATATAGTCAGACTTGAGTCCTGGAAATGGGAAGTACAATGCCTGCACTTTAAAGGAGGGGTTTGGGATATTGGCAGTGTGGAGAGATATGTTGTGTATCTTTATATGTGTATGCTTCTAGACTGTTGTATTCTGAGCACCTCTGCAAAAACAGTGATAATGTGCGAGTGTGGTGAAAGTGTTGAATGATGATGAAAGTATTTTCTTTTTGGGGATTTTCTTTCTTTTTTGGGTCACCCTGCCTCGGTGGGAGACGGCCGACTTGTTGAAAAAAAAAAAAAAAAAAAAAAATAATAATAATAATAAATATGATATAATTGAAGAAGGAAATTGTACAAAAATACGAGGGAGTGGTTGACACATCGTCAGTGTGGCTTTGTTTATGCTGGAGTGAGCATTAGTCTCCCTGCTCTTCCAAACATTTCACAATAATTCATTGTGTTTGGTGTTTGTAGATTGAGTGTGACTGGAGTGGTAGAGGCAGTGATCGAGGCAATGGTATTTAATAACATACATGTTAATAATAATACATGTTATTAATAATATGTACTATTATTATTTGTAACATATATGTTATTAAATACATACATGTTAATAATAATACATGTTATTAATAATAACATGTACAGGAGGGCCCCACTTATACGGCGGGTTAGGTTCCAGGCTACTGCCGTAAAGCGGAAACTGCCGTAAAGTGGAACACCCTTTTTTTCCACTTACAAATGCATACAAACACTAGATAACAAGTTTACACTAACATATATTATGTTAGCAATAGAACCAGGCATCAAAAAAACAATAAAAAAGTACAATACACACATAGTGCTGTCAAAAATTCTTGAAATGTTTGATGCAATGTCGCTGACCAGTAAAATAATGTAACTATTGCCACTATATATACACTCGTTTTCTTAGTTATCTCTGTATTAGGACTGAAGAAGCCACTCGTGGTGAAACATTTCTTTTAATAAATGTTCTAAACTGTACGTAAGTGTATATCCACATCTTGTTGGTATCACCATACAATTTCTCATTACCTTAACTAATAACACAGGTGTTGATTTGAAATAATAAAAGCAGTTTAAATAAGTTATTTTAACTGAACAATTCGATGTATATACAATTTTATAGCATACTAAAAAAAAAAGTAGACATTTAAAGAGAACTTTCAATTATAGCACTCAGTACCTGTGTAAGACATATTTTCAGTCATTCAGTACCTGAGTGTCCAAGACAGATCTTCAGCCATTACAATAACACAGATGACAGACATATTACAGCAGTATGATGTAATTTATTTTTTCAACTCTGCACATCCAAATACAGGTCTGATCAGGTATCTCAATATTTCATTTTAAGTATTATCTTGCAAATTTGGGCATTGGAATCTGGAGTCCCTCTCGAGCCTCGAAGAATGTGTAAGACAATGTCAAAGTGTCCAAATTTTGCATCTTTGGATCTTCTGCAAATTCAGGATCTATATAGAAAAAGACAGGCATGTGTACCTGAAAAAAATAATGTATCTGTATAAAAATAACATAATTATTCACTATATAATTTTACAAAAAATAGATATTCACTGTACATACAGTAAGCTCTCATAAAGCTAATCTAGCTTTATGAGAGCTTTATGAAGGGAAAAGGCTGAGTGGTGCACTTAGGAGTCTGTGGAGACAAAGAACTTTGTCCATGGAAGCAAAGAGGGGAATGTATGAGAGTATAGTTGTACCAACACTCTTGTATGGGTGTGAAGCATGGGTGATGAATGTTGCAACGAGAAGGCAGTGGAGATGTCATGTCTGAGGGCAATGTGTGGTGTGAATATAATGCAGAGAATTCGTAGTTTGGAAATTAGGAAAAAGTGTGGGATTACCAAAACTATTATCCAGAGGGCTGATGAGGGGTTGTTGAGGTAGTTCAGACATGTAGAGAGAATAGAACAAAACAGAATGACTTCAAGAGTGTATAAATCTGTAGTGGAGGGAAGGCGGAGTACGGGTCAGCCTAGGAAGGATTGGAGGGAGGGGGTAAAGGAGGTTTTGTGTGCGAGGGGCTTGTACTTCCAACAAACGTGCGTGAGCGTATTTGATAGGAGTGAATGGACACAAATGGTTTTTAATACTTGTGCTATTGGAGTGTGAGCAAAGTAACATTTATGAAGGGATTCAGGGAAACTGGCAGGCCGTACTTGAGTCCTGGAGATGGGAAGTGCAGTGACTACACTCTGAAGGAGGGGTGTTAATCGGCCAATGTGATAATAAAAAAAAAATAAAAATATTCATCAATATCATGGCTGTCTGCTAACTTGCCCAGCCAGTCAGTGTTACATAGGGAAATAATAAAATGACTTGCCGATGAGTCATCATGAAGTCAAAAGGAGATCTTAGTCGTGTCCTGAGGCAGTCTACCCCAGTTAGTTATGAGAAAAGTTGGGTAGTAGTCCGTAGTGTTGTCTGTGATTATGCCTGTTGTTTGTGGGGATATAGAAGTGGTCTAGATATGATCAAGTAGTGAGGCACTTGTCTCTGTGACTCTTGTTGGTTTGGTTATAGATGGTAGTAGCAGGCAGCTGCTCATAGTGTTTGTGAAATCAGCTACTTGGGGGTCTGCTGCTTGAATGAGGTTTATATTAAAGTAACCAGCAAGTAGCAGGTGAGTTTATTCATTTCTGAGTCAGTTATCATGTTTCTTAAGTTGTCACTGAATGTTTAAGCATTAGTGTGAGGTAGTATATAGACTTCTCCCACTGATATGGGTATTTTTAGGTTTCTGGATGTGAATTTTGCAAATATGTATTCACCATATTCATCCCTGGTGCAAGTGGATTTAATACATTTTAGTTCATTTGAGTAGTGGATAGCAGTACCTCCTCCTGATTGATTAGGTCTGCAGTTGTGTATGGCCATGTAACCAGGTAAGACAAAGATGTCTATTAAATCATGTTTAAGCCAGGTTTCAGTGAAAACAATAAAGGATATGTTAACATTCAGAGAATTAAGAAGTGTAAGGAAGTCATCAGAGTGTTCACTCAATGATCTGATATTGTAGTTGAATAGTGTTATGTTGTTGTTGGCACTGAGTACAGCTTTAGCCTGACTGGCAGTGTAGTAATGACAATTATTGTTTGGATTATTTGTGCTGTTTAACAAGGGCTTAATATCAGTGAAAGTAACTAAGGGATAAGCTGTATAAAAAATAAATTGAAAAGCAATTTTTAACAACTATCAAAGATTAGTACGTATATGGATTGATTATTAAATAAAATAAAAATGACTGAGTTACAGAGTTTAATAAGCGCCTGATAGAGCACCTTTATTAGCACCTGATATTACTAACATAAACTAACAAACAATATGGTAAAAAGAAAGTATATATATATATATATACACAGGAAGGCCCCACTTATACGGCGGGTTAGGTTCCAGGCTACCGCCGTAAAGCGGAAACCGCCGTAAAGTGGAACACCCTTTTTTTCCACTTACAAATGCATACAAACACTAGATAACAAGTTTACACTAACATATATTATGTTAGCAATAGAACCAGGCATCAAAAAACAATAAAAAAGTACAATACACACATAGTGCACTCATTACTTACCTTAAAATATTTATAGTCTTAATCTAGGGTGAGACAAGTAGTATTTATTGTAAGAAATCAAGTGTGGTATGTATTGTAATAGCCAGGCTACCTCACCAGGCCACCCCACCCACACATACTATTCTATGATATTTAAGCATCCCAGAGCGATAAAATGTATATACAGTTCACTCATTACTTACCTTAAAATATTTGTAGTCTTAATGTAGGGTCAGGAGTAAGTAAATGAGATAAAACGAATAAATGAGAGAGAGAAAGAATGAGTACATGAGAGGTAACAGGCGCAGAGTTATGTAAACAAACCAGGCTCCCACATCTTATATTTATGTTTATTTATTCTACTGTGGGGTGTATTTATCTTATTTATATGTTATGCATCGTGTTTATTATATAATTTTGAAAAAAATATCATGGATGGATTAATGAAAATGTGTATATTACCGTAATATACGACATTTAATGAGACTCGGTGACTATTGTTATTATGGCGTCACTTGTGGAAGTCGTCTGCTCACATCTCACATTTATGTTTATTTATTCTACTGTGGGGTGTATTTATCTTATTTATATGTTATGCATCGTGTTTATTATATAATTTTGAAAAAAATATCATGGATGGATTAATGAAAATGTGTATATTACCGTAATATACGACATTTAATGAGACTCGGTGAGTATTGTTATTATGGCGTCACTTGTGGAAGTCGTCTGCTCACATCTCACATTTATGTTTATTTATTCTACTGTGGGGTGTATTTATCTTATTTATATGTTATGCATCGTGTTTATTATATAATTTTGAAAAAAATATCATGGATGGATTAATGAAAATGTGTATATTAACGTAATATACGACATTTAATGAGACTCGGTGACTATTGTTATTATGGCGTCACTTGTGGAAGTCGTCTGCTCACATCTCACATTTATGTTTATTTATTCTACTGTGGGGTGTATTTATCTTATTTATATGTTATGCATCGTGTTTATTATATAATTTTGAAAAAAATATCATGGATGGATTAATGAAAATGTGTATATTACCGTAATATACGACATTTAATGAGACTCGGTGAGTATTGTTATTATGGCGTCACTTGTGGAAGTCGTCTGCTCACATCTCACATTTATGTTTATTTATTCTACTGTGGGGTGTATTTATCTTATTTATATGTTATGCATCGTGTTTATTATATAATTTTGAAAAAAATATCATGGATGGATTAATGAAAATGTGTATATTAACGTAATATACAACATTTAAATGACTCGATGTATGTAAGTTTATTTAGGTACAGGTATACATAAGTATAATTATCAGAGTACCTGGAGTTTACCTGGAGAGAGTTTCGGGGGTCAACGCCCCCGCGGCCCGGAGCTCATGGAGAATGTAAACAAACAGGGTGGGGCACGGTGACCGTATTAGAAAGTCAGGTGGGGGGAGCCGTATAGTGAGTTTTGGTCATAATTTGAAATGTCCGTATTAGCGGAACGCCGTAAAGTGAAACGCCGTAAAGCGGGGCCTTCCTGTATATATATATATATATATATATATATATATATATATATATATATATATATATATATATATATATATATACACTAGAACTAATACTATAATAGAACAAGGAGGTTTGAAGTACAGTAGACCGTCATTTAACACGAGTTTATTTGGCACGATTCGGGTATAGCATGACTGAAGAATTGCGGCACAATTTTATGTAACACTTCATAAAATTTAACACGCTTTGCGGGACGGGAAAAATTTTTGAGCGCGTGGTCGCCCACGGGATTGGCGATGGGTTACACCATTTGAGTTAATGGGGGAGACCTACTGCCATCCCTTACCACCCTCACCCACCCACCCACACCACCCTCCCAGCCTTCAGTTCAGTTCATACGTATGTAGGACGACGATACTCGGGAAGCTCGCTGTATTTATTTACATATGTATTTGAATTGCCATTTCTTAAATTTACCAAGCAATTATGGCACCCAGTAGGCATACAAGTGTTGCTGAAAGTTGCAAGAAAAGGTTTAAGCGTTCAAGTCTAGGAATTACAAAGAAAATCGAGATATTAATAAGTTTAAGAGTGGCTTATGTGTGGTGGATATGGTGAGGGCCTATGGCCTTAATGAAGTGTCAGTTCATACAATTAAAAAGAATGAGGTGAATATATGAGCTTGTGTAATGAATAACCCAAGATGTCATCTCATGAAAAGAATGACACGTAGGTCCCAACAAGTAAATAAAACAGAAAACTTGTTGCTTGAGTGGAATGAACAAAAGACAAAGAAAGGTGCACCACTTAATTTCATCTTAATTAGAGAAAAGGCCTTACAGTTGTTTAAAGCAGTGTGTAATAAGGAAGGCCTGAAAAAGTGTGTGTTTAGCACAGGCTGGTTCCACACCTTTAAGTTGCATAATTAGTTACATAATATTAAGTTTTCTGGTGAAAGCGCTTCAGCTGATCATACAAAAGCAAGTAATTTCCCTGTTGAATTGCAGGAAATTATTTCTGAGGGTGGCTGTGACCCACATCAAGTGTTTAATGTTGACAAGACAAGTGTTTTTTGGAAGAAAATATCAACACAAACTTATATCAGTCAGCAAGAGAAAAGTGTACCAGGCTTCAAGACAGCAAAGGATCACTTCACCTTGCTCCTTTGCGGTAATGCATCAGGTGATTTCAAGTGTAAGCCCATGGTTATTTACCGCTCTAAGAATCCTCGTGCTTTGAAAAGTGTAGATAAAAACACCTTACCAGTAATCTGGAGGTCAAACCAGCCAGCATGGATGACAGAGGAAATATTTATTGACTGGTTTAAGCATCACTTTATTCCAGAAGTCAACTATTACCTGCACAGCAAAAACCTTGCATTCAAGGCTCCTTTCATTCTTCAT